TTATCACTGGCCTTATTTTGCCTGTCAGGACACTGGGCTGAGAAAAGTGACTTCCCCAAGGTTAGACTGTACATGATACAGTAGTCCCGATTCAAACCTTCTGACTTCAAATCTTGTTAATTTTAGGACAGCACTCAGCTCTTAATAAATTGCTTAAAACCTTCTGGGTTAATCACAATCCTTAAATTTACTACAGGGGAAGACAAGAAGCATGCTATGACAGTGCACTGGTTTACCTGGAGGAAAAGCAGACATATATATTTGGTAGCATAGGTCCTTCATTCAGGTATAAAGCCCAGCAATGAAGACTCGAGGCTCTGACTGCCCTGGGCTCCTATTCCAGGTCAACTTCACGAATTTCTTATCTTTGTTTTCTGTCATAAATAGAGAATAATTCCCTACTACACAGGGAGTAGGACAGAGACAAGATCACTGTAGACACTTAGGTCTGCTCCTGGTATCAATTAATATGGGCTAACGGTGCCAGGACCTGACTGACCACTAGGTGGGTCTCCTGGTGCAGGTCAGTGATAAGGTACAGGTTTTTCAGCCAAGCGTGGTGTGGGTGGTCTTGTGTGAATCAGATCCCCTCACCTGAGTCTTAGCATCCTTGCCAAGAACACTATTGTCTTCATGGCAGGGTTCTTTTAAAGATTTAACATGACGTATACAAGGAACCTAGCATAGTACTAGCACATGGCAGACAATTAAGGGTGGCTGTTACTTCTCTATGTCTTTGATGGTGAGTAACTTTTAAGTGGACTTGCTTAAACAAAAACATTTTCTTGTTTAATAGAAACGCTCTGGTATAACAAAGCATTGAATGGTACAAATCAAAATTTAACCTGTTACTGTTTGAACTGACTTTTTAAGTAGGGATTTTAAACTGAAAAAATATCAACCCCATGTTTATGAATAAAACGAGGCAATACAAAGTTTTGAGGCGAGAGGTGACCTAATGTTTTTATTCTTGTTAAAACTATGTATTTGCCATCATCCTTTTTTGGGGTTGAGGGGGACACAATACACTAACTGTTTAGTTTAAATATTCTAAAACAAAGGCCTCATAAAAACCTCAAGAGGCTATCTTGATTCACAACACACCTCTCACTGCTTTCCCGAGCCCTCCATATATGTGTAGCACGAGAGCATGATGATAACATTAGTTCCTCAAAAAAAGTAATTAACTAGCAATTTCTTCAGATTAAACAACTCCAAAAGCTGACCTCCCAAACTGCCTACAACCACCCCAAGATTAAAGAAGAATGGATTACATGCTAAAACAGGGAGACAGACAATATCCACAAAATCTTGTTCTATACATGCCAGTCACTACAAAGAATCATAAATTACTTTCTCTGGAACAATGAAGAAAAGCTAGCTCTTTTGCAAAAGCACTACCTTTAAAAGTGCACAGACGAAAAGTTAGTAATTTTGTGTAATGAAAAATTTAATCTTAGTACATTTTACCTGAAACATTGTATGAACATGATAAAAAAAGAGCATTTCAAGTAAATATCTATTCTTTCTAAAACAAGTATACAGTAATAATTATTTTAATTTGGTGAACGTTTTATTGCTGCCATACTTGCAACCAATGGTAGTCTTTAGTACTGAGATGACCACACCACGATGTCCAAGGCGCCAGAAGATATGTCCATGTGGGTGGCCCATGGGTCCTGTCACTGTAGTATACTTCCTCAGGATCTACCCTTCTCCTCTGAGCCCCCTGCCTCAGGAACACCATGCCATAGCTGCTCAATTCACACTAGTTAACTGAATGACCCAAGTTTCCTTAGTCCAGTTTAAAATAAAGCATTACCGTTCTAATGGAAACATTTTAGATCCTTTATCTGAACTGTAATAACTTGATTAAATATAAGAAATTGGTGGTTGCCAGAGGCAGGGGGTGGGGGTGAAGGTCAAAAGGTACAAAGCTCCAGTTATAAGTCCTGGGGATGTAACATACAGCATGACAACCATAGTTACTACTACTGTATTGCACATTTTAAAGTTGCTAAAAGAATAAATTTTCAAAGTCCTCATCACAAGGCTTAAAAACATTTTTTGCAGCAATGTATGGTGACGAATGTTAACCAGACATTGTCATGTCACAATATTTACAATACTGAATCATGCTGTACACCTGAAACTAATAAAATATTGTACATTATACTTCAATTAAAAAATTAATAAAAAAATAAGCAAGTGTTCTACATTAGGTAATTTTTCACTAATCTATTTTCAAAAAGAATTCAGCACTCCCCCAGGGCTACCTGGATCTGTTGTATCTAATATTGATGTTCTAAGTCCTTATGATTTTTCTTATTATCCAAGGGAATTAAGTGATTTAAAAGGATGCCAAATCCAACAAAATCTGCCTCTATAATGTTTCACATTTTTCAAAGAAAAAATGCCTAGCCACTTGTCCTTATTAAAACTTCATTAAAGGTAGGGCAAAAATTTCCAGCATTTGATTAGCAACATCCCAATCCCTTAATTACTTAACCTCATTTATTTCTCAGAACCACCTTCCATGAATCAGATATTTTAAAAGTGAAAAACCATGAATCAAGAGTTAAGCAGGGGCCGGCTGAGTGGCTCAGTTGGTTAAGAGTTGGCTTGGGAGTGTGAGCTCTGAGCAGCAGGGTCGTTGGTTTGGATCCCACATGGGCCAGTGACACTGCGCCCTCTTACAGGTAAGATGGTGAACAACAGCTCAACCTGGAGCTGGGCTGCAGTGAGTAGCCGGCGATGGCGTAGGCTGCAGTGGGGCAGCAGTGGGCTGCTGTGAGCTACCGTGAGTGATCAGCAGACAGGGTGAGCAGCCGGCAGCCGGCAGCTGGCAAGAGCTGCTGTAAGTCACTGTCTAATGGCCGGCGACCGATCTGCCTCAGCCGGGAAGAGTGCAATGATCATAATACCAACATAGGCCAGTGAAGCGAAGTCCTCCACAAGTCACTGTCTAATGGCCGGCGACCGATCTGCCTCAGCCGGGAAGAGTGCAATGATCATAATACCAACATGGGCCAGTGAAGCGACGTCCTCCACAACTAGACTGAAGAACCAAAGGACAGCAACTTGTCTGTTCCCCTCCCCCAACTCCCCAATAAAATCTTAAAAAAAAAGTTAAGCAAATTTATTTCAAATCAAACACCTAAGGGACAAAGATGGGTTCAAATACAGCAAAGTTTGGCGTCTGTGCTTCTCGCTCTCTCTACCACAGCCGTATACACCAAAACTGAGTATGAAGAAACCTGGTATTAACAACTGTGTTCTATTCCATATTCCCTCCCATAACTGAATTTTCATTATTAGCTCTAATAAAATAGAAGTGAAAAACTAGCAAAAAGGTTTATATAAGCAAAGATTCTTTTAAACTACTTTGTCATTGGATTATTATCTAACTTAGTTTAATATAGTAAACTTTATTATTTACCTAGGTAAATCTTATCTAATTTCAACACCCAAGATTCTTAAATGTTTTAGTTTTGCTATAAAGTAAATGCCTATTTGTAGGTGTTGATAAGCAAAAAGTTCACATTTTAATGTAAGATCAAGTACAATTTGCATTTTTCTACCAACTAACCCCTATAATGGAAATTCAACATGAAACAGATGTCTGGCACAAATAAAGTTCTTAATAATTATTTATCAAAGGAAGTGAACAATCAAAACCAACTAACTGTTTTACTTATAATAAATAAATGCCATGTAGATCCTTAGATACTACAGTGGTTACTCCATCCTTCCTTGTGGCAGCTTCATAGAGAATGTAAAACAAACTACAAACTAATTCTCTGCAATACATGGTTGAAGTGAACCATATATTACTTAGAAATGGAAATTCTATTGACCCTTTCAGTATGCGGGCAGTTAAGGACACAGGTTATCACACAAGAAGTTAGTCTAAATCAGAGGTCAGCCAGCTTTTGCACAGGGCCAGAAAATGAGTAATTTCAGCTCTGTGGGTCATATGGTCTCTGTCGCAACCACCCTACCATTGTACAAAAACAGCCAGACAATGCGTAAGTGAATGAGCATGGCTGTGTGCCAATAAAACTTTATTTATGGACACTAAAATTTGAATTTCATATAATCTTCATGTGTCACAAAATAGGATTCTTCTTTTGATTTTAACCGTTTAACAATGTATAATAGATCATGCTTGGCTCACAGGCCACACAAAAACAGGTTGTAGGCTGGATTTGGCCTGTGGCAATAATTTTCCAACCCCTCGTTTAACTATATATTGTTTTGACATTTGCTGGCAATTAGGTAACTTCTTTTTCATTAAGTGAGAACAATACAAAATTTGATTAAGGCTTTGTCTAAACTGCTGGTGTACAAATTTTTAAGACAAAAATTTTAAAATCATTATTTCAAAATTAAATATACTGCTAGAACTGGCTAAATTTCATTTATTTCTTGATGTCATATCTGTACAGCTCTCATGTACACAGTAGGAAACACCCATTGGTTTCACAATGGCATCTGACTGCACTTCTGATTAAAATATATCAAGTCCAAGTTCACTTGGAAATGTACATTTATAAACCTTATGTAAATTAATACGGCTACAGTAGGATGCGTGATAGCTAAAGCGTGAATTGAAGTTCCATAGACTACTTCTGTTTGGTTTAATAAAAAGTGTACCCAATCATTAAAAAATGGCCGTTTGGGGAATAGGGCAGTGCATAAAATGTTTGTAATGTAAAATTTAACCATTTACCTTTTTGAAAAATAATATTCAAATTTTAAACCTTTTTATTGAGTTGTTATATGGATATACATTATTATAGCAAGAAAACAAATTTGCTATGGGCTATATTTTTAGCAACTTGGCTATTAAAAAAATTAGTTCATGAAATAACATTATTTTAATTAAAATAAAACAGTAGCTAAACAAAATCTTTTCTTTCCACATTTTAATGTGTTAGGTTGCTTAGGTTGTTTCCAAGTCAACTCCCCCAGCCAAAAAAAACCAAAAACAATCAGTCTGAGACTTACTTGAGTGTTTAATTCAAACCTATGTTTGTAGTTTCTAAAATGTTGATCCACAGACCACTTACTTATTACACATGTATACCAATGAAAACAAAAGGCAAAGAGAATCACTGCCATCCCTACAAAAGGAATGGCTCCTTTTCTAACATTCTTTAAAAATATACATTGTACAGTCTTCACGCCTCACCAAAGGTGGTGATGTAATAAATACACTGGCTTAGTTCTCACAGTTCAGCGAGGTCCACCAACTACCTGTTATAAGCCCTCTCCTTTTTGGATTTCTCCAGGGCTTTGTCCATGGTTTTCTCATTCTCCCCTCGACATTTGGGACAGTACCATTTGCCCTTTGGTTTATGATTCAGTCCTACACAGGAGAAGTGGAACCACTCAATTGGGCACTCGTCATTGTCACAGCCAATCATTTCTCCATAGGAGACCTGATTGCACAGACAGTACGTTGGCTCGTTCGGGTCGATGGGAAGGTCTGCAGGAGATGCTTCCCTCTCTGCTTTGGCCTTGGAGCGTTTCTTCTTCTTGGAGGCCTTCGCTTTCTTCTCCTTAGGCGTTCCTGAGGTGATGTCATCATGGTCGTGATTATTAGCTGCATTCTCCCGGTTCTCGTTGTTGCGCTGTCGCCGGGACCTCTTGTTATTGGGCTTTTCTGCCTGTGTGATTGTCTCGTTCTTGGACTTATCCTGGCCAGCTTTGCCACTGTGGCCAGTGGTATCATTGACCTCTTGATGTGCCTCAAAGAGTTCCACGTGACTGTCCACCTGCCTGGTCCGGTTCTCCACCAACTCTACCATCTGACTCACAATCTGGATCTTCTCGTCGCCCAACTCCTGGCTCCGAATCAGAGCTCTCTGAATGCAGTGCAACACTCTCCTCTTCTGGGTGCCATCCGTTTCACGTTTAAATTTCTCATAATACTCATCCAGTTCCTTCAGGATTTCTGCAAAGGAAAAAATAAGTATTACACCCATGCTATAAACATTATTGGGCATTGTATTTAATTCTCTAGGCTATGAAAAAGTAATTGAAAAAGGACAGACATGATCAATGCAAGCCTTCCTAGTATGAAAATCTTGTAACTTGTATGCCTTTCTAGCAGTTTTTCGTTGAAAAAAAAAAAAATCCCTGGAACTAAATACAAATGCCAACACAGTTCTCATTTAGCAAAGTGTCACTCAAAGTTCCCCAAGGGAATCCATGTGCGTTCGGCATCATGAGTAACAAATACTCCTGGAATAGACAATTAAGGGGGAAAGTTCAAATTTAGGTGAAGTACTGAGGCCCAAACTATTGAAAATTAATGATTATGTCCTATACTTCCATTGTTTTTATTCAAATATTTTTCTATAATAATTTATATGACTTTATTCTCTTTATTTTAATGTACTGTCTAAAATACTCTGTGAAATTACAGAATGTATATAAACACTACTTATGACCTAGAGCCTCAGTTTATCAGCCGCATCTTTTTCATCCCAGAATGTTATTCCTCTGTATTCCTGGAAACAAGAATGGTTTGTCACAATAAGCCAGACAACCTAGCCTTGCTTTAAAAAAAAAGGTGGCAGAGTTTGCTTTTGCATTTACTGCTTAAAAGAGTGACATATTTATATCTATAGAAGTCAACAGACTGTAAAACATTAAAAAAGAAAACCCCTCAATACTAAATTTGAACCTTCTTTGATAAGTTTGAAGACAGTGTATGTGATTTAAAACGTAATTTGGCAAATGTAATTAGGCAATTTCTCAAGAAATAAAAGCTGTTAAATAATGTGATTGAAATAAGGAGAGTAAATATTCTTGCCAAAAGGCTAAATACACAGAAATTCCAGATTATTTTCCCCCAAACAGTAACCATTAATTTAAACAGTATCAGACTTTTCTCCTGAAACCCTTTTGCAATCTCCCCAAACAGGCAATTCTACTCTCCAATTAGGAAGTATGTGGGGAGGTGGGGAGAAAAGGGCATGAAATGTGGCCATCACTCCTTCCAGATCTTATCTCCAAACTGTAAACCTAAGACTGGAGTAAACATATAAACTTAAACCAACACTGAAGCTTAAATGGTTAAGTATTATTTTCCAAGCTATATTCTTAAACTAAATATAGCTCTGAAGATATTTCCTAGAGGAACGATGTAGACTGTTTCCCACCAGAAAGGAGGAATGCCAGTTTCATAGTCTCTTACAGTAATTAATTCTGAAAATAAACAGCTATGCTCAACTTAATCCAAGTCCTATTACATAGATGGTTAAAATGAGCTTCTGCCATTTACTTTTAAATGAATTGCACATTACAAAACTATCATTTAATAAATAACCAAATTTCTAAAGACAATTTTTGCATTTCACAAAAAACAATTCTATCATACAGCTAATTTAAAATTTAACAAATATGACCTTTTATATTACAGGCAAGCTCACATCCATGTGAAGCCTTACTTGTGAGAAAGAAACAAACACCTCATCACAAAATTACCAAGAAGTAATTCTGTTACCTTAACAATGGCATATATTTCTTAGATATCCCAAGCAAAGCACTCTATCAACAAATCCACTTAAGTACAGACATCTGTAAACAGGAATAACAGCAGTGCTAACTAGGGAGGCATCTTGCCAGGATACCGGCTTCTTCAGCTCCATCAGCTCAAACTGCTGCTGACCCTTCTCTTCTAAAAATGCTCCACAGCAACATTACTGTAGGAAAGCAACGGTACCATGGAAAAAATTTAAGGATTAAATGAGATCGCAGCAAAATTTAATTTGACCTTACTTAGAAATGTACTTTAATTTTACATAAGGGTTGCACTGAAGTTCTTTATGAAGCTTCCATGGTGGATGGGTATTTAAAAAATACTTGAAAAAACAATTTAAAAATAACCTAAAATACCATTTAAAATTTCCAAACTAATTTTAACCCATCCTTATTAATTAATCTCCAACTGATGCATACTAAATAAAAGGCTGTTAATCAAGTTTGACTTGCAACATAGTTCTTTAAAAATAAAAGTTCAATTTTTTAGAAGTATGCTGTATATCTCAACATTCAAAGTAAGTCCCAACCAAATGAGTTATGACTATTATAACAAATTTAGGCTTCGCAGCTCACTCAAAGGGCACTGACTTCAGTATATGCCAAGGTGGAGGTGGGATTGATTTTCTATTCAGGAGCCAAATAATCACCGCGGCGTGTATTAACTCGATGGAAGATACTTTGGTTCTCAACAGCAAAACAAGCTTCTTTACAGTAATGCAAAAAATAAGAAAAGTGAGGAGTATAGTGATGTGGATGTTAGAAAATTTTAATGATAAACTTTTTTTGTTATCTTGAAATTTCCTAAAAGTGCTAATGAACAGTAGCGGAGACGACGAATTCCACAAAGACTGAAACTTTTAAACTCCCCCCACCTTTAATCGTCACACTACCGGAGCCATCCTGGGTCACCGACCACCGAGAAGAGTTCCCGGCCTCGGGTCACTCACGCCTCCCTAGCTCCCTGTGGCCGCTGGCTTGCCCGGGAGGGTCCCTGACGCCAGGGTGTGAGACCTGACAGGCATCCTCGATAGTGCCTGGAGCGTGGCTAGCCAGTCTCGACCCTGGCCCCCCAGAGGCCGCCATTGCTCCGCAACCGGAAGTAGCCAAGCTCCGGCCCCGAGTAGGGCGGGGCCCGCCCCCAACCAATGGGGAGGCGGCCAGGAGGCGTTGCGCCCCGCCCCGGGAACCGCTGCCTATGGGGGTCGCCAGGCCGGAGGGCGGAGGCCAGGCAGGGTGCCAATCACAGAGCAGGGCAGGGCAACACGGCCCACCCCGCAGGCTCAATAGCCAATCCAAGGCCGCAAGCCGGGCGACCCGAAGACATTCAAATTACCTCGACCTCCTCCCCCCTCCCCGCCCCTCTACGAAAGAGAAAAAAGAAGGCCGCGGAAACAGAGACGCATGCCAGTCACTGCGCAAGGCCCGCCCTCATCCGGCCCAGCAACCTATGGCTCAGCCGCGGACTGATAAGGACATTCCATGGGGAAGCCACAGCCAATTACAAGGAGGCCGAAGAGGGACGTTCGCAATATGCTAATGAGCCGCCTATAAATATCGCTGCGAAACCGAGTCTCGGATAGAGCGCGCAGGGGCGCCTTGCCGGCGGCAAGTCTCTGTACGTTTCGCATCGAACGGTAGCTTTCCACTTCCCCCCACTCTTCCGTTTCCCTGCTGCGCAGCCCTGTAAACATTAGTAAACTCTGAGTGACGACCTATGTTCCAAACAGAGCCCCCAATGCCGTGCCTGACCTGGGAGGAAAGTTTCCCCAACAACCAACAATTCCCAGTGGACGCGAACCCTCCGCTGCTCTCCGGTACTCTAGGAGGCCGAGACTGCAGAGAACGACCCACAGGTCCTCTACCCTGCCATGTTACTCTCCAAGCCCCCAGTCTTTGCTCGAGTCCCCCCAGCGCAACACAGATGGGCGACTTCTTCGCCCCATCCTTCCCTCCCTTTTCGTCCCCTTCCCCACCGCACACATGGAATAAAGCCCTGCCCCTCCGCAAACTACACCCGGCCGCGTCGCCCCTCACTCGGTGTCCAGCGCTGCCGGAGGGCTGGGGAGCCGGGTGGGGGCGACCGAGGCTACACCGCGCGTAGTACCGACCCTGGACTTTATATAACACTCAGATTCCGGACTGGGTGGGGGTGGCTCCGGGGATGGCGAGCAGGGCCGGGGGACTCCTCGCCCGCAGCGCCCTCCCAACAGCACTGAGCGCAGCCCGGTCCCTGCGCCCCTCAGTCCTAGCGACCGCAGCACATCTCTCCTTCGGCGCAGCCTTAGCCCCTGCGCCCCCTCCCCCGCAGCACCCCGCCTCGTCACTTCACTACAAAGAGCGCTTTGCTCGCGCAGCCTGGCATTGAGACCTCTCGTTTCTCCTTCCTCCTCCGTGTCCGGGCTTCGCGCACAAGGACCTTGGCGAATCAAAGACGATCCAGACCTTTTGTTCCTGCCGGGCGAAAGCCGCCTCCGCGGGCCCACGGCTCCCCGGGCGGAGAACAGGACGGCCCTCGGCCCCGCGGCGCGCCGCGACCGGCGGGGATGGAGCAGCCGCCCCCGCCCATCCATCCCGCCGTACCTTGGTATTTCGCGTCGATCTCCCGCATTAGCGAGACGTTTCTCTGCAGGTCGAAAGGCAGAGACTCGATGGAGTCCAGGTAGTCCTCCACATAGTTCACCAGGTGGATCTGCTCCCCGTTGGCAGGGCTCAACATGGTTCACCAAGGTCCCCGGCGACTCGGCGCGGCTTTCCGCTTCCTCCAGCCCCCGCCCCCTCGGAGCCCAGCGCTGCAAAATGCAAAGCTCCCGCCCGCCGGCGCCCCCCCTCCGGCCAG